GGAATGTCCTTTAATACCATTTTTGGATCGTTAAAAAAAGTTTATTTGAAAGTGAGAGTTACAAAGACACACACATACACAGACTGAAGAGAAAAACAAAGAGTAAAAGGGAGAAAGAGGGAGAGAGAGAGCACTCTTTCATCTGCTGGTTCACTCTGAAGATGGTTGCAGAGGCGAGGCTTGGGAAAGGTCAAAGCCAGCAGATGCAGATGAGCCCATGATTCAGGTCCCACATCTGAGTGGCAGGAACCCATTTATTTGGGTCATCTCCTGCTTCTCCCAGGCCATTAGTAGGGAACAGGATTGGAAGTGAAGCAGCCAAGACGCCTCAATTGATTTGTTTCGCCTGCGCATTTAAGAATCTTTTCTTTATGTTCGATTGAAGACAGCTTGGTTATCAGGTGTTGTGGTGAAGATGACTTTTGGTCAACACTAATGGGAGTTCTGTGCCCCTCCTGTATTCTTAATCTATTTTCATTTATTATTTCATTGTAAAGATGTTTTAAATATTTTATTAGTATTTATTTTTATTGGAAAGGCAGATATACAGAGAGAAGGAAAGATAGAGAGGAAGATCTTCCATCCAATGTTTCACTCCCCAAGTGGTTGCAGTGACCAGAGCTGAGTCAATCCGAAGCTAGGAGCCTGAATCTTCTTCCAGGTCTCCCACATGGGTGCAGGATCCCAAGACTTTGGGCCATCTTCAACTGTTTTCCCAGGTCACAAGCAGGGAGCTGGATGGGAATTGGGGCCGCTGGGGCTAAAATGAGCTCCGATATGGGATCCCGGGTGTGCAAGGTGAGCGCTTTAGCCACCTGGCTACCACACTGGGCCCGCCACTGGATTTTCAATTTGCTCCATTGTGGCTTCATTTCTAATAATACTTCATGATTTTGTTTTTTTATAGTGTTGCTGTTTCTTGCGTGACATATGCCTTGAATTCCTTCATGTCCTTGTTGTTGATAAGAAGCTTTATAATGAGTTTTTTAAAAATTCTTTATCCCTGATTTTGATGTATTCCTCAGTTAATTCGGAGATTGGCAAAGGCTTTCCACTCCTTCGTAGAGTGATCTTCAATAATATGTATTGTGCCTTTATCTCTTTTTTTTTTTTACTGCCTCCTTAGGGCAGGTTTCTAAGCTGTGTCAATCACAGGTCTATAGTTCAATTTTACTTATTGCATTTGGTACCCAGTTCTTTGTTTGCAGTCACTTGTGCCACTCCTTCAGTGAGTGTTGGATCTTAGCTCTTGTGTTAGGCTTCCACTCTGGTCTCTATAGCCCCAGCTCCTTGATCACCACTCTCAACTTCCTGTGATTCTGTGCTATGGCTGTACTGTTGTTTGTACATGTCTCTTCCTGTTTGAGCAGTTTTCAGGGATAGGGAGACACCAGGTGTCCTAAATAGTTAGGCTGTTAGTGGTGCTGATCTTGCTGGAACTTGCTGGCCTTTGCTTTGAGGGCCACCTGGACCTATTTTGACCCATAGGATGCCAAAGTCAATATTATTTTTGATGTGGGATCAGTGCAGTGCACTGAGCTGGAAGTGAGTTAGCTCCCAGCTCAGCGCATGTACAGCTCACTGCTGTCCCTCCGGTCCCACAGCCTTTGCCCCACTGTACTAGATGGTACCTGATATGCCACTCCTGCAGTTCTTCATCTGCTGGCCATTAGATCTGGGGGCTACCTGGACCCATTTTGGGTGGAACCTGTAAGATGCTACCTTGGTGCAATGCACACTGAACCCCAAATGATTTTGCTCCCATCTTATTGCATGCATAGTCCCATCCCACAGCCTTTGCCTCTGTACACAAAATAGTGTCAGGTATTGCTTTAGTGTGGTTTGGGGCTGTTAAATCTAACCTGTTGCACAGCCTGTTTGGGGTCTGTTGCTCTGTCTCTGCTCCTGGCCAAATCAAACAGATCAGCAGGACAGGCAGTTTTTTTGCCTGGATTCACCTCCTGAGCTCTTGGTGAACTCCCCTTCCCACCTGGCTGCTGCTGGACCTCCAGCCACTGAGCTCAGATCACTGCTCACCGACTGCCACTGAGGTATCTGGTCACTGCAACAACACACTGTTGTCTTTGCTGCTTTCCTGTGTCTGTCAGTCTCCAGGGCCCTTTTGCTGACAGCTTGTCCTCTCCTATATCCTGGAATGTGCCCTCTCTACTTTACATTGGCTGATGATTCTCTGATTCTCTGTCTGTTTAAACATGTCCTTATTCTATTCTGTAACTTTGATTCTGCATAAATTGTATTTAAATATCATGATTCAGGCCTGGCATGGTGGCCTAATGGCTAAGGTCCTCACCTTGAACCCGCTGAGATCCCATATGGGTACCAGTTCTAATCCCAGTGGTCTTGGTTCCCATCTAGCTCTCTGCTTGTGGCCTGGGAAGGCAGTTGAGGATGGCCTGGAGCCTAGGGAGCCTGCACCCATGTAGAAACCTCCTGGCTCCTGGCTTCGGATCAGCTCAGCTCCAGCCATTGTGGTCACGTGGGGGTTGGATCATCAAGCAAACGGTCTTCCTTTCTGTCTCTCCTCCTCCCTGTATATCTGACTTTGCAATTTAAATAAATAAACAAATCTAAAAAAAAATTATGATTCTCTGCAAGGAACTTGAGTGTCTGGGGATTTTGATATTTGCGAGGATCCCAGGGATACCAAGGGACTACTGTCTTCTTTGTTATCTCTCTATACTTTTTTTTTCCCCAGTGAGCACATGTAAGGAAAAAAATTTAAATTTTATGATCTGACATGTCTGATCCTGTTCTGTTCACTCCATTGCTTGGATTTTTGCTGGGTCTGGATTTGTGGACTTAAACAAAACTTTCAGAATTTTGAAGTCATAGAACCAAGGAAGTGAAGGATAATATGTATGAGAGTCACCAAAAGTTTGTAGACGAATAGAATTACAAGTTCCATTTATTTTGCTGAAACAAACATTGTAATATGTATATGGTTTTCTCATAATACGCGTATCTATGACTTACTGGAGCCCTCTCATATTTTCACAATACGTGCAATCCACATGATACTCCTGGTAGCCCTGGAGCAGTCCTGTTTCCCTTGTGCCTATATTTTGAATTAGGTTCTCTCAAGCGTGGAGGTCCTGCCATTTAACTGCTCCCTAAATGTCTGAGCGCAGTCTTTGTGACCCATTTACAGAGGTTTGTGCTGCAAGCACAGCTGGTACACATCATTGCATTGGTTTTCAGAAACTGCCCTTAGCCAGTCACTCCCAAAGTGCAACTTTGAGTCTCTTGGGTTTGACAGGTTAGTTATCACCACGAAGTCACTCCCTCCATGAGTTATTCCGCACCTGTTGTGTTCTTTCTATGACTGTTGGTAGAAACACATTTTTATTCATTCCTCTGTTGTCACTAGTGTGGTTTTTGAAGGAGTGGAAGTAATTTATGTATTTAACCTTCCATAATGTGTTAAATGGAAACTCAGTATAACTTTGTGTCCTTAAATGAGTTGTTAGAAAATGTTCAAGAGTAATGCACTGAATACGTTGTACCTTCACACGAATTAATAAAAAGTTGCCATGTATGCGTGTCACAACCACATATGTGTGTATACCTATCGGCCTACATACATGTGGACATGGAACATACACACACATACACAAGCAAAATAAGCATACACATATATGTTGTCTCTCCTGTTCAGTCCCTCCATTTTTCAGAGTAAGGTGTTTGAAACTACGTGGCAGACAAAAACACTTCATCCACACCTTTTTTCAGGTTTGCCGAAAAGGATTCTTTCAATTCTGCAGGATACTGTTCTCACTCTGTTTGCTTGATATTGATATAGTGTTACATCAAATGTGGTCACTATTCAGATTTTCTCAATTATCCCAATAAAGTTCAGTTTTTTTCTTCTAATCTAGGAGGCGATCAGAGATCCAGCAGGGCACTACCGTTGTCATGGATTTTAACAGGAACTCACACTCTTCTTGGTGGGGCTTGTCACATTGACATTTTTAGTGAGTTCAGGACAACATTTTTGCAAAATGTGCTACAATGTGGATTTCTTTATCATTTGTGACAAGAGTTAACTATTGACAAGAATACCATGTAGCTGATTCTATGTGACTACATATAAGTAGAATTTTACTACCACTCTCATAGGAGAGAAGTGTTATTTTATTTGTATATATCAAACTATAGCAAAGTACATAAGCATATCATTTATGGTTGTGCTTGTCTCAAATTGTAGAAAAAGACACTTAAAGAGACTTGCTGGAGGCTAATGTTTGGATGCACTGAAAAATCTGCATATGTCCACTATTTCCATTTGGTGATAAAAAAACTGAAGCTCACTCTTTCTCATTTCATGATGTAAGAATTGGGAGTAAATGAAATTTTATTATCTCACCCAGCCCTCAAATTTTGTTAATCAATGTGGAAGACATAACTTATAATTTTATTGGCAAAATGAATATGAATAGCAGTAAAATCACAAATAACGTATCATTAAAATATTTGTTTTACTTAAATTGACAATGAGCATGTGTTTATAGTTCTTTGTTTCCAGTTTTACATTTTTTGTCACAGACTGTTGTACGATTTTGTACCAATAACAAATAATACAGATTTTAATCACCTTATCCTACTTGCATATAACTGTACTGTACATATTTTTGTACTACAGAACTAAGATCAAGGCTTAAAAATCTATGGTATAGAACAGGTTTTATTTTAGGTTACTTGAAAGTAAGTAAAAGAAATATTTTTATATTGAAAATAAGAAAATACTGTTAATTTTATACACAATTATTCTGGTTAGGGTTAGCTGGTATATATGTGTTTATTTTTCATTTAATTTCTTGAATTACATAACTTTAAGGATACTAGTAGAGATAATTTTTTTTTATTCTGAATCTGTTTCATTGAGTGAGAGTATGTCTTCACATGCTTATCAGACTCATGAATACAATTCAAGCAAATAAAATGTAGTGTAAGTGATAATATTTTATGTGTTTTTCCTACAGGAAGCTCTGATAATGGCGAGCATGGATCATCCACACCTAGTCCGTTTATTAGGTGTGTGTCTGAGCCCAACGATTCAGTTGGTTACCCAGCTTATGCCCCATGGCTGCCTTTTGGATTATGTCCATGAACACAAGGATAACATTGGTTCACAACTGCTGCTTAACTGGTGTGTCCAGATAGCTAAGGTAAGTGCTGCCGTTTCCTGCAGAAGTGGAATTCTTCGGCTTATTTTAATCTAGAATAGTTTGGATTCAGATGGAATGTTATCTTTCAGTCTGCTTAAATAAAATAAGTGCTATTTGTTTTTATTGAAAGATATGGTTTATTGAAAGATACGGTTACACGAAAACCATAGATTGCTATGCAATCATCCTTTGGTTTCCGTTAGAGGTTACCATGGGAATTCCAGATGATTTTGTCTCTTACATATAGTGCAGTAATCTCCGCCTTTGCATATAGCCTGTGTCCATGTGACCTCTGCACTTTAATCGTCTCCAAATTGTTTATGATATAGAATATATGTAAGTGCTCTATAAATATTGCTTGCTTATATTTTTTAGGGAAAAAATTATAAGAAATGGATCTGTGCAAGTCAATAAAGATACATATTACTTAAAGCATTTTTAGTCCACATTTGGTTGACTCCACCCAGGAGTACCTGGTAGATAGAGAAGGTGGTTGAACTTACCGATTTTTGGATTACTATGCTTTGCTTATGTTCACAAGAGGCCAAAAACGATAGCTTGTTAGTCAGAGGAACAAATGCCTATATTGGATTTGTTTGCCTTTCTGAAGTTCCTTTTGGTTGGTTTAATATGGTAAGAAACAAAGCCAGTAAAGAAAAGTTGAATTCCTTAATTGTTGCAATTTTTAGATGATTTTGTTACAATACCCTGTGTGTTAACATTTGCTATTGCAAATGCTTGTCAAGTTTCCACTGATCCCTAATGATTTGGCTTTGGTATGATGTGAGAGGGCAGGCATGTAACACTCATGAGGTAAGTGGTACGGCAAAAGGGCAGGTGGCTCTCCAGTGCAACGGAAGGCATCTCATCTCTTTCTAGGCACTGTGGTTGGTTGCATATTATCTGAATTTGCCATTTTTCAAAAGGGACAGAATTATGGATATTTCATATGGATTCTCCCAACTGAAATCTTAGCTCAAATCTTTGAGCCACTCATGTGCTAAGCAAAGTACTCACGTTTCATAGTCCATTAGTGCACAACATCTGAAAAGACCGTGTTCAAGCATGTCATTATGATCATGTGTCTCCAGTACATTTCTTGAAACTTTTCTCCTCACAGAAAAATAGGATTGCAGTAAGTCTTAATTTATTATATCAACAGTTACATTCCGTGCATTCTATTGACATTTTCATCTTTGTATTTGTGTAATATAAGTTCCAAATGTTGACTTGGTCATTTTGGTCTATTTCTTTTTATAACATAATGATTAACAGTACATTTAGACAAGTAGAAATTTTATATATCACTCTTAAAATGTAAGGCCAAGAATTATTTAAGGGAAAATCTCAGTGTCATTCTACATATTATAAGTCTCAATTTGCAATTTGGTTTCCTTGTGGATCATGTATTTTGATTTTTGTGAATATTGTGTGATAAACTTGTTATTGTGATTATTCTTTATAAATATTAAATTTGAGATGTAACTCTCCAAAAGCTGATTTATCTTGAGAATTTCTATGATTTATGAAATGAGCTAAATAGGCAATAAAAAAATTCAAGTTATCCTAGTACTGAAACAAAATAAATATTCTGTGTTTTCTTCACAATTAGGTTTTTCTATCATATATATATGTAATTTATATAGTACTCTGTGAGCTAATTATAGAAACCACTTTGAGTTTTCTAAATGATTACCTTGCTTTATACTTTTTTGCCTTTGAAAATATTATCCTCTCTACTTAGAAGTCTTTTCCCACAGCTTTTTATTGCAGAGACTATTTATTTATTTATTTATTTGAGAGGCAGAAAGCAGAGTGAGAGAGAGACAGCACTGATCTGCTTGTTCGTTCCACAGCTGTGCCTGGACAGCCTCATACTGGCATCTGGGAACTTAATCTCCGTCTCCCAGTTGAGTGGCAGGAACCCAACTAATTGAGTTATTACTGTGGCCCTAACAGAAAGCTGGAGTCAAGAGCCAGAACTAAGGATGGAACCCTAGATGTATGGTATGGTTTGCTGGTATTCTAACAGGAATTTTAAGCACCGAGTCAAATGCCTGCTCCTGAGAGTTTTTTGAGTCACACACCTGACCTTTTTATCTGTTCACACTAACTGGACTTTTTTTCCTCTAAGGAGCCTTCCCCAGTCAACATTCCTCCTCAAGCAGAAGTCAGCACTTATACTTCTGTATTCATTTTTGTCATTAACATTTGGAACACACTTTATTATTTAGACTTACATGACAAACTTACTTGTATTGATTATGTAAGACATTATTTAGTCATTAATTCTTCAACAGATGTGTATGTATCCCTATCATTTGCCAGATGCTATGCTCACTGTGGACGTAGACAAGGAATGAACATTCTCATAAGCCCAGTTCTCCCTTGGTACTTTCAAGTATGGGATAACCCTAGCAAGTAAAATCTAAGTGTAGGATGAAAAATTCTGGTTTGGAATTTGAAAAAACAAATTATAGTGCAGAACTGAAAAGAGAGGCCTCTGAATTCCACGAGTGAAGACTTTGGCCAGGGAAATGTTAGGCAAAGGGTGAGTCACAGAGGAGCACCTCGGTATGGTGACTATGGGACGTATTGTTCAGATGGGACACTTTCAGCAGTTGTGCCAGAGATGTCCTAACAGAACAAGGTTTATGGTAACTCAGTTTAGCACAAAAAGTTTGGATTCGATCAAAAGAGCATTATTAATTTGTTAAGGGGCTGACATTGTGGTTTAATGGGTAAAGCTGCCAGCATCCAAAATGGGCACTGCTTAGAGGCCACCAGTCTGCTCCACTTTCAATCCAGTTCCCTGCTAATGTGCCATTTCAGGAATGAACCAGCAGATGAAAAATCTCTCCATTCTCACCTATAGCTTGACCTTTCAAATAAATAAACAAACCTTTAATAGGAAAGAAATTATTAAAATATTTTAACTTAGAATTGACATTATAAATTTTATGATGAAAACAGACCATATCAGTTTCATATGAGGATCAAGAAGCAGAAACAGTTTCAAGATGGAAACAAAGACTAATAAAGAGTCCTAGAGCAACACAAACATCAAGCACGTGGAATAAAAAAGGAGACGGGGACAGAAGTGGGCTTGAATGTGTCTTGAAGAAGGAGGGATGTGTCATAAGCCAACGAGTTCAGGCTGCCAAAAACTACAAGAGGCAGGAAACCTAGTGATTCTTCTGAAAAACATGAGAGGGAATACAGACCGCCCCCTTCCTAAACTTAAATGCCCCAAAATAGTGAATGTGCATTACTTTAGACTACTAGATTTTAGTAATTAGTTAGAGCAACAGAAAACTAATATCTTGGCCATAGTGACTTGTAAAGATTAAGTAAAATAGAGTGTGTAAGCTTTGTGGCTCAACTAGTAAAACACAGTGGGAAAGAAGGGTCTGCTTTTATTAACTATAGTTTTCAAGGCAATAAAACAGAAATGATCTAAGAGGTGTCTATACAGTGTCAGGAATATGGTGGAAGGCAAGTGTTTTCACAAACAGCTATTTCAGTGACAGAACTTTCCTTTTCTTTCAGTTCTCACTAAGGAAGGCTTGTGCGAGTGTGTGAAATACCATCAGAATGGCTGTAGTACTCACTTGTATTTGCTTGCAGCCCTTTTTGTTTGTTCATTTACGAAGGTGGCAGTAGAAAGAAAGAATTATCACATATGATAATTAAAATGTGTTTTGTTATACCTATGAAAATGTTAACAGGTTGCACAATGTATAAGAATTACATGTAACTATTGAGCACTTATTCCATGCAAATGGCTATTCTTGTAATTTATGGATTATTTATCTTATTACAAATCTTTGAGGTAGATATCATTATTTAATCCATCTGACAGATAAGGAGAGCCAGACACAGAGAACTGAACTTGATTAAAATCACATAGCCAATAGAACCAACTATCACTGCTACCATTTTGTACAAAGAACTAAGTATTCTTAAACTATTTTATCCACCTCCCAACTTTATTTTCACGCTTCCACAGGTTTACTACCCCTTAAATTTTGTGTAATAGAAAATGCAAATATAAATACTAAAATCATTTGCTAATTATAGCAGCCATATTCACACTACAGCTGCTGCATTTGCAAGCTGATTTAATTTGATAAGCAGAAAGGGGCATTTTGTTACTTAATGTTCATGTGATACCATATGCCATCTTGGTACCTTGTGAATCCAAGTTAGAAAGTAAGGATAAGAAATTGTTTTCTTGTAACTGTTGCTAATGAGTTAGGCAAATGGTTTTTAGGAGTGAATTAGCAATTCTGAATGATAGGTGAACACTTGGCGTTGGGAATGTCACAGTGGGTAATGCTGGTGATGATTAAGTGGACATGGATCAAACATGTATTATCATCTCATCTCCTTGGTCTTCTATGCCTCATCTTTAATCTTTACTACAGGTATAGCAGATACAGTTCATTACAGGGATACTCCAGAAAGGAAAGTTCACAGGAAGATACAGTAGAAGTCAATCAGAAAATTCAGAATTGCCGTGGAAGTCTTTAGCATGTTCAAGGTGATATATATTGTGGGGAAAACACCTGTAGGCTTCTAAATTTCCTTCCAAAATGAATTTTTATTTAATGTAATATAATTTTTTTTGTTTACTTACTTACTTTTTAAGTAGATTTACTTACTTATTTAGGCAGAGAGAGAAGAGAAAAGGGGGAAAATGACACTTATATGTTGATGTACCTGAATTCCCTAACAGGTACCTCTGACTCCAGGACCAGATCTCTAAACTCTGCACTGATTTTCCTTCCCGTGTATATGCACATCACTGTAGCTTCAAGTGGTCTACTTTCTTTCCACATATTTCTTGATTTGAGGAGTAGAGGGAAACATGGCATTTTATCTTGTTATATCTCATCAACAGGGTCTATATATTAAAAATTGGTTTTTGTTTTGTTAAGACTTATTAATATTTGAAATTCACTGATGAAGAAGCACATGGAAGGAGGCTCACTCTCCAG